CACACACACAAGCACACTCACACATACACACATCCAATCACAGATCACACAGATATACTCCCCTCCGTGGTGTGTCCATGTTATTTCACTCATTCGGGGACATCACTGATTCTCTGTCTGCTTCTGCAAATTGTAATTAAAATACATTGTGAACTTACAATGATCAATAATTTTGAGGTCCCTCAGTGTGATTGCACAACATTTCTCTGGCTTTTGGTGGGATTTTTGCAAAGACCTTTAGCAGTCCAAGCCACTCGGCCGTTCCCTCTAGGAAAACTATATAAATAAACATGAGGGTGTAAAACTTCAGGTGCACCTCAATCATTTTTTTCTTCTCGCTCTTTCCCGGCTTGACCTGCCTTAAACTCAGAGGCTCTGCTCCAAAGATGCCTTTGCTGCTGCTGGTTGGCAAACCTCATCGGCTGCAGTTTCATGCCCTTTACGGGAGGCTCACACTTCCTTTGGCTGCCCCGCCACCTCCATGCCCCATGTCCAAGTCTTCTGTAACCAATATCAATATTTGCAAGGTATATGTTTTATCTTCCAGTGTGTTGAACAATTCCTGACTTTGACACATCTCATTATCTGCATTTGTTTCACCTAATTGACCTTGAATTATTTAACAGATTTAGGTTTTAAAGTAAAAATTTTATTTTGACGTTTACCACAATAAATGTACAAAAGATGAAAACATTAAGGTCTCTTATAAAAACTATACAATATCTTAGGCCTGCAATTATACCGCACAATTTCGGCACAATAATGGTTGAAACCTACGTACATGGGGTATCAGGAAACAAATGCTTGGAGCACACTTCACGAGGCCTTCTGTTATCTACTTTAACAGCATGTACACCATACTCCACGACACCATGGTTATTGATAGTTCTGATCCTATGCGTCCGTATCGAGGCTCTCCTGACCAGCCCCTCAAATCATGCAGATCGTGGAATTTGTCAAACCACATGGTCAAAATAATATCACAGAATATCTTATGTGTTACACCTTAATATCCAATGGCACAAAAGCATCAATCAACATTGGCATAAAAAAGCAAAATTTGGTTTGAGTAATTGATGTCTTAAAAAAATAGCATGTAAAGATTTTAAGTTGTTTAATAATGACACACATGAAAAAGTGGCTTGCCATAGTAAAAAAATCAGCAGAATTAGTCCAGGTTTCATGTATCAGTTGAAAATTAACATAGTGAACATGATGAAAGACATAAATGTTATGTAATCTCATCTCATAAGCTCCAGCCTTACCTGTGTTGCTTAAAGGACCAGTGTGTAGCATCAAGCTGTCTAGTTGCAGATTCCAACTTCCTCATTTCACCAGAGCGTGAAGGAGAAACAGCGGTAGTTATGAAATATGTGCAAACATACAATGATCCTATCTAGAGTCAGTGTGTGGTTGGCCTGTTCTGGGCTACTGCAGAAACATGGAAGGTGACTCGCGGCATCTGTGGATAAAAACAGCTCATTCTAATGATTCATACATTCAGATGATTATACACTAATGAAACATATGCATATTCATTTCTGTCAATAGATCCCCCTAAATGTTACACAATGGACCTTTCAAAATCCTGGCATATCTTCTTTTCCTGATCTACATATCCTCCTTTGTTATTGGCATAGATTTAACAATGCCCTCGATATTATTATAACATACTCATCCCTTCCTTGATTCCCAGTCAAAGTGAATCTGCAGCGAGATGAATGTCTACAAGATGCCTACATGCACACAGGAGCTGTGGCTGAGGCTGTGCAGTCCCGCTGCTTTCTGTTGACCCGCTGGATGATTTGTAAAGTGGTTCTTTGACGCCTGGTTGGAGATGTTATCAGAGTCTGGGAAGTCTGCTCTGTCTCTCTCCTCAGGTCTGCAGCACTAAAACAGCAGTAATAATAAGAGAGTGTTTGTGAGTGCAGTGGAGAGGAGTGGGGGAACAGTGTCTGTGATTGTGTCTGTAGGGCCCCGCAGGGCCCCAAGACTCAAATCTCCCCCACACACCGTGTTTTTTCTGGGTGGGGGTCTTTCTGTAGAGTCTCTGTGATCCACTGCTAAACCAGGTCAGATAGGAATGGGTTTTCGTTCTTGCTTTCTAGTAATTTGTAAAGTTGGCAGCATGGTTCATTGAATTTAAATTACCATGAATGTAGAGGAGTGTGTATGAGGTGAGGCTTTTTGTTTTTGCTGCATTCATGTTTAAAGCATGCTTTTACACTGAATGAAACAAAATGTGACAAAACTACAGTCATCAAATTCGTAAGATTGTTCAGAATAATATCCTCATTTCAACAGAACCATCAGTGCCTCCTACGTAGATATTAAAATGAAACCACACCAGATCCAATGAGAGGTGTAAACTCACTATTAACACCTGGATGTAGTAGAAACATGTCTCTGTATGTTTTTGCTTGGTAGGGGGATGATGTTATTTCAGTGAGGTAGCAAATGGGCGGGGTCAAAGGGACCACTGGGGAAAGTTAAATGCTTTGGGAGGGAGGCTGAAACAGTCTGGACAGTCAGTGGAGGTGTAGCTTTTCTCTGAGGTGCATGCACGTTTCTGATTGATTAACTGAGCGCATATAGTGGCATCTGATGACTTTGAAACTATTTCATCCTCACTGCACAATGATTTGGTGACAATATAGTGAATACTCGCTATTTCGACTGTCACAGGAACCATGGCAACGACAGCTCTGACCGGGTTCTCTATGATGAGCCTGCTCAGCCTCGGGTACCTGACCTGGGACCTGATGAGTCCTAATCAGGTGGAAAACGAGGGAGACCAAACTTTCGTTGACAGATCTCCTGTCCAGCAGCCTCCTCACATCATTTTCATCATGACAGACGATCAGGGATTCAACGACATCGGCTACCACAGCTCCGACATCAGGACACCGGCGCTGGACAAGCTGGCAGCGGACGGAGTGAAGCTGGAGAGTTATTACATCCAACCCATCTGCACCCCGTCCCGCAGCCAGCTCATCACCGGCAGGTAAAGGGTTTGTGCTCAGACTTTAGACTTGTCTAAAGCACGAATATGCTAAAGTTTTTCCTCAATCTGTTCAAAAGACAAAGACAAAAACTGTAAGACATTTACATTTATTTTTTGTCAGCTATAACATTTGAATGAATAGAAAGGGATGCATATATGAGCATATAAGCATATACCATTTAATGCAGATAGATTTTGAATATTGTTTTTTATGTCACATTATAAACAATAAACAAATTAAACAAACAAGTATGACCTGGCAAAGAACCTCATTAATAATTTTTTAATTGAGATTTCACTGCGATTTGAAACAAAATTTTGTTCTAAAAAAAACAGAATTATTCCAATTCTGAATGGAAATGATGGATTATATGTTTGAAACATTTAACATCAACTTTAATGTGAGATCTGAGAATAATGTCATCATTTTGATTAAATATTTACGTGGTTCTAATGATACTGTGTATTTTCTTTTTTTAATCTGAATTATAGATACCTGAGATAGGTAAAACAAACATTATGAATACTCAGATGAAGTGTCAGACAAAAAACTAAGCACAACAAACATGTGGGCAACAACCTTTTTCACAGGTCTTTATGTGGCTTCAACTGTCTTCACTCTCACAGTATTTTTTAACCACACATGCAGCTAAGGAAGGAAATGGTAAAAACCTCCTTCTCCCCTCTTCTTGTACCTTACCATCTGATGGATTGGATTATTGATAACTCTGACGGGTTTCTTTATCATTAACCCTACAGGTACCAAATTCACACTGGCCTGCAGCACTCCATTATCCGGCCCCGCCAGCCCAACTGCCTGCCTTTTGACCAGGTCACCCTCCCTCAGAGACTGCAGGAGCTTGGCTACTCCACCCACATGGTCGGCAAGTGGCATCTGGGCTTCTACAAGAAGGAGTGCCTACCCACTCGCCGTGGCTTCGACACATACTTTGGCTCCCTAACGGGCAGTGTGAACTACTACACCTATGACTCCTGTGACGGCCCTGGGATGTGTGGCTTCGACCTCCACGAGGGGGAGTCGGTCGCCTGGGGTCAGAGGGGCAAATACTCCACCCATCTATACACACAGAGAGTCCGCAAGATCCTGGCAACCCATGATCCTCAGTCCCAGCCACTGTTTATCTTCCTCTCCTTCCAAGCAGTTCATACACCTTTGCAGTCTCCGCGGGAGTACATCTACCCGTACCGTGGGCTGGAAAATGTGGCACGCCGGAAGTATGCTGCCATGGTCTCAGCTGTAGACGAGGCGGTGCGCAATATAACATATGCTCTTCGCAAGTATGATTACTACCAGAACAGTGTCATAATCTTCTCTACTGACAACGGTGGGCAACCTCTGTCTGGCGGCAGTAACTGGCCGCTCAGAGGACGTAAAGGCACCTACTGGGAAGGTGGCGTGCGTGGTCTGGGGTTCGTCCACAGCCCTCTCTTGAGGAAGAAGAGGAGGGTGAGTAAAGCCCTGGTGCATATCACTGACTGGTACCCAACACTGGTGGGATTAGCAGGTGGCAATGAGTCGCTGACCGAGGGGGTGGATGGGTATGATGTTTGGGAGGCCATCAGTGAGGGGAAGGAGTCACCCAGGTTGGAGATCCTCCACAATATTGATCCTCTGTATAACCATGCACGCAGTGGCTCCCTGCAGAAAGGATTTGGGATTTGGAATACAGCTGTGCAGGCCTCCATTCGAGCTGGAGACTGGAAACTCCTGACAGGAGACCCCGGCTACGGAGACTGGACACCACCACAGGTGCTTCCAGGTTTCCCCGGCAGCTGGTGGAATCTGGAGCGCCACACTGAACCCCGGAAATCTGTCTGGCTTTTCAACATCTCCGGAGACCCCTACGAACGTTTTGACCTTTCTGAGCAGAGACCAGATGTTGTCAAAGAGCTGCTGGCTAGATTGGTGTACTACAATCGCACTGCGGTGCCAGTAAGGTACCCATCAGAGGACCTACGGGCTGCCCCCGACCTGAATGGAGGTGCCTGGGTGCCCTGGGTAGCAGATGAAGAGGAGGACAGCTGGGACAGTGTCTACCAGAAAAATAACAAGGATTGGAAGAAGAAGCTTAAACTGTCCAAAAGCAGGTCGTTTTTCAGGAGACTCAACACAAGGATAATGTCCAACAGGATATAGAAAGGACAAGGTTCTTCTGAAGGACAAAGTCATATGAAGGAGAGTTCTGTTTGTTGATGGAACTTTTTGAAGATGTGTTTGTGTTTGTGTTGAACAAGTAACCAAGACTCTGCAGGATCCGGCTGCAGACTGTTCAGTCTCTGTAAAAGAGCTGATGAAAGAAGTCCAATGAAAGCATTAATTGTTCAACTGGTCTGTATCCACTTTAAATAAAAAAAAATATGTGTGTCCCTAAATTTAATATTCAGTTTTGAAAAATGAGAGTTGATTCCATCTTACAAGATGATACAAGTGTGTAAGCAAATGTGTTTTGTTAACATACAATTTTTTCCCCAAAGAGAGTAAGAGAAATACAAGATTGTTTTTTATATATATATAATATATATATTTTACAGACAATCGCTGTGTTTGACACGGATGACAAGGTGACAAAGACAAATCATTTGCAACCATTTGTTACTATGATGAATACAACTGATGACTACCTCTCTGTCAATGTGACATTAGAATGATTTATTGAAACTCCAATTCTCAACTTATTCTGTCTGTTGATTTAGATAATTTAAAATAGAAGAATAATAGAAAAAAAATATTTTTTTTTTACTTGTTGGGAAAGCATCTTGATAAAAGTTTACAACTCTCTTTATGCCAATTGTCCTTTTATATTTGTCATATTCTATTTATCACATTTTGAATTAAAATTAGCTTAAAGGTCCAGTGTGTATAATTTAGTACGATATATTGGCAGAAATGGAATAAAATAATTATAAATATATTTTCTTTATAATGTGTAATCATAACAATTGTTGTGTTTTTGAATTAACCATTTTTATCTACAGAGGGAGTGGGTCCTTTTACTATGGAGGCCGCCATGTTGAATGGCCATGTTTATGTACAGTACCAACAAACCACACAGAAAGGACAAACCATACAGCCACCGTAGTGTCTCCTACGCACTTGGAGGGGTGAGCTGTATTCAAATGCAATTTGCAACTCCACCACTAGATGCCACTGAATGCTATACACTGGGCCTTAAATTGAATTAAATAATATTTACTTTTTTGTATTCAATTTTTCACAAATGTTATTTAATAATTTATCATTTTTCAAAGTTACTTTAAAGTAAAAAAAAAAAAAAAGACACTTCATGACATTGTACCAACACTTCATTGCTGCTATCCGATGCTGCCATTACTTAAAATGTAAATATTCTAAATGTTTTTTTTCATCTTTTCATACACATTTCCATCACCTGACCTTTGTGTTTTTGTCACTTTAAAATGAACCTTTTACAGAGGGAGCAGTTCCTCTTCTGCCAAGTCCACAACTATTTGCAGTTATGTGCAATGGATCACAGCAGCAATACAAACTAGAATCAAATCATTATTCTTGTGGAAAGAAGTTTGGATCATGTACTCTACAAACAGAAACAAAAAAGCATCAAACACAGTTCAAAACAAAGAGGAGTCTGTTAAGCATGTAGAAGGTTGTGCACAGAAATGGTTGCTGATCTGGAACACAGAAACTTATAAAGTTGTCCTTCTACACACAGGGATTAGAGTTAAGGTTACCCTAACCTACAGGTAGATCTGTAGGAAACTTGTGTCCCCATAATGAATTCTGACATTTTAATTGTTAGCTACATGGCACTGTCAGATCTTCGGCCTCTAAGGTAAACTACAAACCTCATTTTTTGTTTAAACAGTTTCATTTTTGCAGTCGACCACATTTGTGTAAGGTTTAGAAGTGGAGT